TTGACGGAGCCTCGATGCCCGCGCCTACCTGATGAGCCCCAAGAAGGGCGAAACCGGTCGTGGGCTGCTGAAGATTTTTCAGCGACCTTATGAGTAGTGCATTACGCATATACAAGTGGTTCGATCGTTAGATCTCTAAAGTATTCCCCTAAAATATCTAAAAGCCTGACTGATCATCTCCCGTCCGGTAAACGTGGTTCCTTTCACGTTGAAGTTTTGATTAATGGTCGTCTGGAGACGCTTAGGATAGTTGAAAATTTGACCTAGCCTGGTTGAACGGGATATTCATTTGAGTGAGTCTTAAAATCAAGTTAGATTGCAAAGGGGTATGCTTCGCAGACTGCGTCCATTTTTTTAAAATTAGAACACAACTTGGACGGACGAAAACTCGTGGACTGCATCTACCTGATGAGCTCACTGAAGGACAAAATCGGTTATGCGCTTTCGAAGAGTATGCATCAACCGTGTGGCTATTGTGTTCCATGGAGACGTATTTAAGTAATTAAACTGACTTTAAATTAAAACAAACCATAAGCTGTCCGAACTAATTGATTTTTATACCACACTCATTTGCAAATATAATTGGTGTTAATGACTGACGAATACACTCTCTGTTTGCCGTGTTCTTCGGGGGAACGTGCTGCACAAAGGCCGTCTCTTATTCCAGTTAGCCCAATATCCGAGATTTCGCGGAATATCTTCTTGATAGAACACACTACTCATGAGGCTACTCAAACCCTTCGACAGCCCACTACTGGTTTTGACCTCCTTAGGGTAGCTGTGCTACCATCAAGCTTATGTTCTGTTCAAACACCGAATTCACTATTCCGGTAATCGCTCTTTCGTTAATGCGAGCCAAAATGTGACCCCTCGTTTATGGCATTCTTCAACTGAATGTGTTACACTCGAATTTGTGGGCCATTTCTGTATACAGGAAGTTGTATGAGTTTCAGTTGTATTGAGACAGATGAGGCTGTGAGACTTGGCCTGTTCGAGTAACGGAACTGGTACGTCTTCAGGTTTTCGACAATCGTTGTCTCAGAACCATGGCTAGTGTGAGTTGATGTCGGTGAATCGTTAACTAGACAATTAGAAAGCGGGTTTTCGGTTATGTAACGGGTACTTCTAATGAATAATGTGTCCAGCGCCAGAAGCTGCGTTGTTTGAGACATGTGTTGCGTTCGCCGAAAAGAGTGCTGTTTTCTGTGCCCAGTTAAAAAGTGGCGCAAGCAGAGGGGTGGCCAACCCTTGCCCTGGCACAGGGGTATGAAAGAGAGTACGAAAAGTTTGGGTTCTGTCGGTGATACTTGCCAACTAGGATGGGTACCGCGTGATCTTCACTGCGTCTGGTTGAAGACGTTGGAACATATGGCTTCCAACTGATGTCAGTGGCCTTCTTGTTGCCAGTTTCTATCCAAATCGCCTGAATGAGTATCCGAAGGTATAGACACCTCGGAACGCTTGTAGTAAGGTAGCACTAAGTCCCTCCCCCATTCACTGTTATTCTTTTCTTTACAATAAGGCTTCCGAATAAACCATGGTTGTACGACAGCGAAGCATCCGTGTTGAGCATTGAGGTCATGCTGACGATGATGACGTATCATTTAGCATGATGTTCGAGATATCGCATTACATTCTTTGCTGAATAATCTACTCATAGGGTTCCTAAGTAGTATTCAGGGCGTGCACTTTAAGGATTGTTCAGTAAACTTATGAATAGCATGTCATTTTAAGTAAATGGGTTTTTATTGCTGGTATGAATTATCGGCTTCACCGGTTATTAACCAATTCAGGCAACTCCCTAATCAGTGACAACTGGCAGAAAGTATTGCCTTAAGTAGAACAAAGGTTGACGAAAACTTGGGGACTGCGCCTACCTGGTGAGCCCGAAGAAGGGCGAAACCAATCGAGGGCTGTCAACGAATTTTCAGCAGCCTTATGAGTAGTGCGTTACGGATATAGGAGTATTGTCTCGTTACTCAACGGTCTTCTAGTGTCAAAGCGTAAACTTGTAGGTTGTAGTTGTGTCCTGAAAGCCTCATCTGCACGGACGCCACACCCACCTCATGGGTCCGTCTTAACAAGGACGGAAGCGCCCGTGTGGCTTGACTTTCAGGGATCGGGTCACATCTTGACCTCAAGAAAAAGACCTGTGTCTGTAACACTCCAAACCACACTACTCTCTAGTGAATTCCTACTCATCACTCGACGACATCCCGCAAACTGTCCGGAATGATAGATTTTGCCTACTGCCTAGATTCTGATTAGTACTCCTCACACACAGTTGTGTTCTCATTCCAGTGCTTGTGGTCTAGACCTGCGTACCTGACACCCAAGTGAAATGTGTCTGTCGCAACAGTTCCCCTCCCAGTCTTACCGCTAACAGCAAATTTCCACGCAGGGAGATGGTTTAAGTCAATCCACACATAGGTACCATTTCATTCAACGTTGGGGGGTGGGGCGAGATGGACTAAGTGATTAGAGCGCGAATTCACTGACCGGAAGGTCCGTGGTTCGAACCCGACCTCTGCCACTCGACTTCCCCTTTCTAGGCTTAGTCAGACCTGAATAGACCCATTAGCAATCATTTGCTTGCATTTCCCCTGACGGCCTGATTAGAGTTTCCAATGGAGACACACCTAAGGATAACACGTGACATGCTACAACACCAGGTTCCATTCTTGCCCCCAGTCTGCTTCAGCGGAGTCTACCACATCACGTGTTTATGGCGTAGCATTCTGAGTCTCTCTGTATCATAGGCGCACATGTCTGTGATGAAGAACAGCGGACGTTAGAGCCGTCTTCTGACCGCACAATGATGGGTTTGGACGGGTAAATCATATTCGGCTGTCAGCGGCGCTTTTACCGGAGTTGGAATTCACTGCATGGTGGGATCAGCAGGTTTCACCGGCAGACTGGGTGACAAAATGATTGTATTGACATGGCTTGACACGTCTTTGGGGAGGAAGAAGGCACTGCTTGGGTAGTTAACACGGGGGGCTTCGTGGAAGAACATGCAGTGTGTCAATGCTAGGGAAGACCAAATCGGAAGAAAGTTTGTCTCAAGCTGATATGAACTCTGTGCATAACATCATAGTGTGTATTTCGTTCTTTCGTTGATAATTTCAGCGTGACTTGTGTGAATGATGGACTTTTCGATCCCCGTGAGATTTTATCATTAGCAAATTCTGGCAGGTGTTTCACGAAGTCATAATCATGTCAGATTGTCATTCCTCTGACCTTGTTTTTCGCTGGAACTCAGAAGACGACTTCCCACGGACTGTGGAAGCGTTCGTTTTGGTTACCAGTTAAGCCCTTTTGTTGGCTAGCCCTCGCTTGTACCTAGCTAACAACCTGTCACAGAACAATTATTTTTGCAAGAGGTACTGTGACAACAATTTTCGGTTCGTTTCAAGCCTTTGAGCTGAATTTGGTTTTTGCAACTCCGTCGCCACAATTTCTTTCTTGTTTGTTTCCAGACAAGCAGAATCAACGGGCCGAACAAATACGACGCTGTCCAAGTACCGGGGTAAGTATTTCACATCCCGATTGTTTTTCGTCAATTTCACATGCAGGTGGAAATCACTTGGTTATCTAGTCAAAGAAGCTTGTTAGGAGTTAGATCACCAGAATTGCGTAGATTAAAAGGCTTGTACTCAAGCCTAGCCACCTGCACCATTCCGTAGAAAGTCTCACTCACTAGAAATCACCAAGCAACTGGTTCGTTTGCATCACCGCAGTGTACACTGGGGGGACTCCACCATGGAATTATTAGTGCACAGGTGATGGTGGCAATAATACAAATCAGAAGGTGTATGCACTAATAAAGGTTTTTAGCATGATTGACAGTGGTGGGTTACGACACGTATAAAAATAAATACAATGCGAAATGGGAGCAAGTTAATAAAGGAACTTATCGTCTGGAGAGTTCCTTGGTGAAAGTCCGGACGGNTAGCGTGTGGAGAACGGCCTTGGATCATTCGAGCTGAAACGTGTTGGTGTGCGGTCGTCAGAAGGAAGGGTGGTCATCATCTGCAATCCACTTCACCTCAACCCTCCTCAAGCTAAACTGTCGAAGCACTCACAAACCCACAAAGACCAGGGAAAATCTAACAGCGACACCCGAGGCGAATCATCAAGTGAAGCACCCTGAAGTGGAAGATTAAGGAACGAAAAGCGATCGGAACTAATTTGGAACCCCTCCAGCCCACCGATTCAAGATTTTGACAGCCACACTAGCCGACAAGAGCCGTTAATTGACACTCAACACTTATATAATTTAAAGAGGACCAACTGATTGGTTCAACGTCTGTCTTATAACCTGGCCAATTTGGTGGCCTGTTCACTCGGCCTGATGAAGCTTTTGTGTCAAAAGCGAAACTTTGCCCAAATAAAAACTACCGATTGTTTGCCAAGCTCTTCTGAAACGGTGACTTCTCAATCGGTTCCAAACTTGTTTCAATTGACTGTTTGTCTTCTTCCAACGTGAAAACTTAAGGTATTCAACAATATGTGCTGTTTTGGGGTTTGTCGTACCATCAATAACCGTCACTCATTGTGAATCGAGTCTTACCAATCACGTGGCCATCTACCGAAGACGCTCTCCGGTGTGTTTTTTCCCAATATTTTTCGGTATATCGTTTCAGAGGGGTTTGGTAAACAATCCACCGATTGCTTACCAAACCCCTCTGAAACGATATACCGAAAAATATTGGGAAAAAACACACCGGAGAGCGTCTTCGGTAGATGGCCACGTGATTGGTAAGACTCGATTCACAATGAGTGACGGTTATTGATGGTACGACAAACCCCAAAACAGCACATATTGTTGAATACCTTAAGTTTTCACGTTGGAAGAAGACAAACAGTCAATTGAAACAAGTTTGGAACCGATTGAGAAGTCACCGTTTCAGAAGAGCTTGGCAAACAATCGGTAGTTTTTATTTGGGCAAAGTTTCGCTTTTGACACAAAAGCTTCATCAGGCCGAGTGAACAGGCCACCAAATTGGCCAGGTTATAAGACAGACGTTGAACCAATCAGTTGGTCCTCTTTAAATTATATAAGTGTTGAGTGTCAATTAACGGCTCTTGTCGGCTAGTGTGGCTGTCAAAATCTTGAATCGGTGGGCTGGAGGGGTTCCAAATTAGTTCCGATCGCTTTTCGTTCCTTAATCTTCCACTTCAGGGTGCTTCAGTTGATGATTCACCTCGGTTGCGTTGGTCTTTGTGGGTTTGTGAGTGCTTCGAAGATTTAGTTTGGAGGGGAATGAAGTCAAGTGGAATCCAGATGATGACTACTCCTGATGACACCAACACGTGTCAGCTCGGCTGATCCAAAACCGTTCTCCACACGCTTGCCAGTTCCACGCCTTCTATTCTGGTAACTCTGGGATGCATGGCGATTTCTATTGCCTCGGCCACCACCGTAGTCCTCGCCTCAAAACCTCAACATTCTATTTTGCGTCCCGTGCCCAGTGCGTGTTCCGCAATGGCCGAGTCTTTCAGTAACGCTTGATATTCATCCACGTTTCTCGGTGGCCTCTTTACTTTCCTACTGGGCTCTCCGATTCTGTTGTGAAGTTCCCTGGCCGTCTCTCCTATATAGACTTTAGTGCAGTCGTTACACTGAATTTTGTAGACACAGCCCCTGGTTCTGTTTGCCGGGAGGCGATCCTTCAATTGTACGAGTGCAGAGCGTAGAATGTCCCCCCTCTGGAAAGCTACTCTTATGTTAGCCGTGTTTGGAATTCTTCGAATGACCTCCAATGTCCCTGGTCACAAGGTTGCTTTCGAAGAGTTTTCAGCAACCTTGTGAGCGGTTCCCTTTACGGTTGTTTGCAGTTTGTGACCAAAAAAAATTCGATAAATACTTGCTGCTGCCTACGAGATCTGACAAGAACCTACTTACGGGGAATCACAATAGTTGAAGCAGTGCACTGTAAATACATGTGGCGTTTAACACAGGGAATAGGGTCAGTTTTTTGTAAGCCAACAAATGTGGAAAATTCAACAGTGTACAAGAGCTTACCGTTGGGAGTTTACCTTATACTGAAGCCTAATTTCGTATAACCGTAAACGTTCTCATACTGGAAGCAGGAAGACACTTGTCGACTTGTATCGGTACACTACTGTCAACAAAATGCTCTTTTGGCTGACTTCTGGTGGAGCCTCAAAATGGCACGTGTGTCACGCTCTCTCTCTCTGAGATTGTAGTAAGCGTTTGGACCTGTGGGATGTCATGATCTGCATTCGGTCTTCTCCAGTGTATGTGCCGAGCTCAAGCATACTTCTTATCAAGTTGTTGATCATACCAGCATTTGGCTGTTTTTCACAATATTGGGGTGAGATGGCCCAAGTGGTTAGAGCACAATTTTACTGACCGAAAGGTCCGTGGTTCGAACCCGACCTCTGCCTCTCGACTTCTCCTGTCTAGGCTTGGACAACCTGGCAGTATCCCAGCCCTCGTGCTTCCTTCGGGTTAGGCATCGAAAGGGTGCTACAGCTGAACGATTCACAAAATACGTATAACCACAAATGTATGGATGTATTTATGTACTCAGTGATCTACTTGAAAACCTAGCCAGATAGAACAGTAGCAAGTTTGTTCCACTTTCTAGTCCGCACCCAAAGACAACGATATTGTTAAAGCTGAATAAAAGCATACCGCCAGGTACTGACGAGCGGCTAAGAGAATAAAACTTGCATGTTGCAATGCTGGGGAAGACGCGGTATTGCTCTGGAAATTAAAGGAATTGATGAAAGATGCCGGTAACTCTTTGATAAACAAACAATTGCTGCCCGCCGTCATTGTGTGTTGAGGTCGAGTTACGGTGTATGTGACAACCCCCTACATGCTTTCCTGATGCTTTTATCCCTCCGGATCTAAGTTTTCTCAAAGGGTTCTTGTTCAACCCCGCTCAACGCCTGTGGCCGTTCCCGTGTGTGCAGGCATTCAGTGTTTCGACCAACAACGGACGGCACACACCAGTTGGAGACCAGCTTTTTGGTTTATAAACATGTATACATACATGTATAGTTGACAGACTCTACAGAATGTTCTGTCCTCACAAACATCAAGATCATCCTGTGGACATTTTAATTGAGAATAAGGACTTGTAAAGTTTTAGGGGGCATCAAAAGCTCGTATTATGGAGAACCGTTTTTGGTCCAAAACATGTATCGGAGCCTTATGGTGTCAGAAAACTCTGTCTCCAGCTTAGCCAGATACATTCATTTGCAAACTGATTTGGTTTTGCGAGAGACTCAGCTGGAACCCAGCTGAATCTTGAATCTTTCGTTTGTGATGTTTCCAGGCTTGACGGAAACTCGGGGACTGCGCCTACCTGATGAGCCCCAAGAAGGGCGAAACCTTTCATGGGCTATCGACGAATTTCCAGCAACCTTATGAGTAGTGCATTACGAATATACTGTCTCCAGCTTCTTCATCCAGAACAAGAGTGTTATTTGACTTAGTCACGACCGTTATCTTCCATTCACTGTCAATTTTCAAACATCCGTCGCTGAACTCCGCTCCAAAACACAAGGAAAGACTTGATTTTCGTTTGTACTGAGTCACTGCGAATCATGATCGCATTGCCCGAATCTGGTGGGAACACCGGATCAGCAATTCTGAAGTACGTCGAATGGTATTCGGGAGAAATAACTCACCCTCGATAGATGAACTGATCACACAGCATAGGTTGCGTTGGGTTGGTCACATGCTACGTATGCCAGTCGACCGACTTCCTCGAAGGGCTCTTTTCGCACAACCACGTGAAGGGTGGAAGAGAGC